TCGTATAGAAACGACCAGAGAATTAATTTCGTCCGAATCACGAGTCGGCGGGTCAACAGTCATCGGTGAATATATATTCCACGGAAATGCAAATGACACTGACTCGCTCGCCTCTCGTGTTTACCTTAGTAATGTTCAATCAGGCGCTGATGCCGCACCGCGCAATACGCGCGTATAATCATTCGTTTGACCGCGTGATATACGTGTAGTCTAAAGAGTTAGCCACCTCCATAATACGCGATACCGGTGGCGAGGGACCAGCGACACGGTGTATTCGCCTGATGACTTTCGATGATGTTTTAGTGAGGTCGCGCTTATGACCACTGCTGCTACTGGTATGATTTTCTGCCGTTTGTTTGCAATGCGCTCGTTAAGTCGACGCCGTATTTGCTCGTCCACTCGTAATTTTCACGATTGCGCTCTATTGCAATAAAGTTTTTAGCCAAGAATAATCTCTAGGAAAACTTTTCGTTACACTGAGAGTTGAATGCGCGCATAATAAATCGCGTGTATAGCTAAACGGTGCAGTGTAGCAGTTCGAAATCGAATTAAACTTTGGGGAGAGTATCGAGGCTCTATAGCTCTCGCGACTTGTTTGTAGTAGCAAATCCTTTGCCTGGTGTGTAACTGTGTGTCGACGTGCGCGAGCAAGCGAGCATTTAAGAGGTCAGGCATACACGTATATGTACGGTGGAGAGCAGCAGAGGAGAGGCTGCGCGTGCTGCCCTCGCGAGATACCAGAGAAATAATGGCCAGTGAGTTGCACTACGGATACGAGCGAGAGCGGTAGGGAGAGAGAGACAGACAGACAGACAGACCGTGATCTCGGCCCTGGTAATGGTCGCCTCGACAATAGACCACGTTTATTGTTTCTCGATGCTCCGCGGGAAAGAGGAAGAGGCTGGATTGAATAGTTGCTGCTGATCCATGCTCGCAGATATTATAGTATTGCTGTTGACAATTACGACAGTTGTCAGATTCTTGTTAGAAAACCGCTTATCGTCTCGCAGAACAGGGTCAAAGTTATTTTTATCAGGAGTGCAGCGGACTATAATCTATTTGAAAACAAAGCTCGTAAATCATCGGTGGGTCAGTATAGCCGTATCGGCGAGCGTCTTCTTTGCTTTTCATTGGCCAGCGAATAAACAAGCGAAACAGTCGAATAAATAAGCGCCAGGCGAGCGATAACAATCATGCACCACTTGATATTCATTTGCCACGCGCTCGCAGCCCTTCTCAGCTTTCTTTGCCGCAAGATAGCCGTCTTATCGCACCAGACAAATGGCATGGGAATTCGACTCGGCTTCTTGTTTTTTATTGGCCATCTACATATGGCACGCAGAGCAACTTACTTTCCAAGAGATCTGTAAGTGCCAGGTTTCCCTGTTACTGCAGGGATTCTTTCCCCTACATTTTTTGCAGATGTCTAGTCGACTGGAGAACCGGTTATCGAGGCGAAAACTTTATGCGAGTTTTCTTTTAAAGAAATTAATGATGGGCTTATTTGAATACATTTGGCAGCTTTGTATTCTTATTTTATTCGATAAAAGTTATGTTGATGATATTCTCAATTCCAAAGAGAGAGAAAAGAGCCAAATGTAAAATGATTGATACATAAATGCAGCGTGGGAATTCAACGAGGTAGCGCAAAGATGATAAATTTTTCACTGCGAGATTACAATCCAATTTTTTTTCTCTAGAGCGAGGCGTAATCGCCTCGCTCGTGTCACCGACTAGCACCTGAAAAACTCTACTCTTCTTGCTGCTCCAGCAATTTCTCGACAGTAAAAGCAATTGCTTCTTCTTTCCACCCCATCCGAATCTCCATTCTCGTCTTATCTCCCAGGCGGAAGCAGAGAGGACGCTTAAAAAATAATTCCATCCGCCAAGCCTATTGCCACGCACATGTGCGTGTGCGCCAATTGAATTTTGAATGTCTCGTTGAGGAAAAAAAGCAGCGCGCGAAATGAGACAACCAGAAGTAGTAGCAGCGGCGGTAAGAAGGAGCTTCGAACGGCGAAATGAGGTAGCGCCAGAGCCAAGCCTCGATTATGCGAAATAAACTTGCCAGCTGGGAATAAGAGGGCGAAAACTGCCCTGACAGCACTCGAGGATGAGACTCGAAATGAAGAGCCGCTGGAACTGCGAGGGAAGATACTTTTCGGCGAGAGAAAATTAATTCTTCTTGCTGTTTATTTTCCTTACTTCAGTGTCGCATAAAAATTCACGTTGAACCTACAACACGTCGCTTTTGCTGATTTCTTTAAGAGGAAAATATTCATTTCTCGTCGCGAATAATATAAAATTTGAACGAACAATTTGCATCTGGCATTTTTAAAATTGGCGCTTGCACTAACGTACTAGAGGCCAAAATATTGTAGCAGTGATCGGCATTTCTTAAATTATTATATGTGACATATTTAATTTAGCGAACGTTCGGAAGTTGGAAAAGTACTAACGTTGCGACATGTATTCAGTAACGACTTCCTCGAAGGACCCAACTAGAGTATGAATTGCCGATGTTGATTGAGCTTCACACCTCGTCGCTTCGTACCCTTCGAAATCCCTTTGAACGCATGTGTCGGTGGCAAGACTCTGATTGGAAGCTTGATGGACTCTTCATGCTCTTGCTCCAATCCTGACTGGAAATTAATATATTGCTACTTCAAGATTTTACGATAACAATATTACAAAATACCTTTTCAACGTATGTTTACTGAGTTAATCATCTTCTCAATATATCAATGAAAATAATATAAATAGATAACCTGGTTTCCTTAATATTTGAAAATAATTTTGAAATTAAACATTATGGTTCATTTAAATGCGTAAGCGTTTGCGCATGAATAGCAACAGAGCCACGGCTTGATAAGGGTTTATGATCGCGTTTGTTAGAAAATGATGAGCCATCAAGTTGTCGGTCAATTTGGCACATCTGCTCCATCGTCCGTTGGTTTTGTCTATTAACCCTCGTATTTAGTATCTCCTAAATCTGCTCAGCAACGCCGCACTTCTGTCACTCTATCCCTTTGTACTGGTAAATTTTTTCATCGACATCATGGTTAATCATCATAAAAAAACTGAAATTTCGAGACATGAAAAGTTGTTTTTTGTATAAGAAGGTCTACCTCGCTCACGTTTAACTCTGCAATAATAGTCACCTTACGGAGTCTTTGGTGGTATGACAAAGAGAAGCAAGAATAATCTAGTGCACCAAGGTCGGTGACGGCGTCGTGGACATCCTAATTAGAGCGAGTTTCGCGCTCGTTTTCGCAGCGCTCGAACGACAATTCGCGTCAGTTTCACGGCTCGTTCGCGCGGTTAATAAGCGTGCGCAGTTGGCCAATGAACTTGTCTAATTGCCCAGTATACGGCGCTTCATTAGCTCTTCCGTGTGTCAGTCACCACGTCAATCTTTTGTTATCTTTTGCGCGGTCTTTGTCACCTGTCTCTCTCTCTCTCTCTCGCTCTCTCCGGTAAAACTCATTGTTGTCGGAGCCAAGGCATACGGACGTCCAGGCTGCCGCTGCCCCTCCCCCGTCAATATTCTTCCAATGCGAAACTCATCAACGTGTATACTGGCAGCTTACGTATACATCGTAGCGTGTAATTGTGTTAGTGGAAAGTCAGCCGAAACAAGTTGTAACTTACACAAGTTAATTAGATGCACTTCCGTGCCGGGATAGTAACTCACTCGGGCAGTGAGCGCGTGCCAAAATTCAAAAGTATCGCTCGAGTAGTAGCGTGACTCGTGACTTTACGACAACAACTTGTTAGGCGCGAGTTTGCAGCACCGGAAGGTTATTCCGCCGAGCGAGTTTACGGCCGCGGCCGACGGCTCTCTCGCTCTCGTGTCTCGTTAGCTTGGCCGAAAAATCGACGCGAGCGAGCGTCTCTCTTGCCGTTCCGGCGTCGAACACATCCTGCGGTCTCGTCGGCTTCGTGTTAGATTCACTTTGCTAGCCAAGCCTTGCCCACTCGCTACGACATCAATTGGCCGTTAAGGCCAGTTTACCTCAGGTGAAAGCCAAACAGTTTTGCTTTATTTCCTCCAACTTTGTTTCCAATCACTTAATTTTATTTTTGTTTGTGCTGCTTATATTTATTTTCTCCCTTGCGCAAATCTACGAGCTTTCGAACGTTCTAGGGCTACAAAAGATACAACGCGTGATGTGTGCCCGAATGCGAAGGGTTCGCGGTAAGCAAGGGGGACAAAAGCAACTTAGACCCCGGCAGACCGCAATGGGGTATACAATTTACGTAGTGTCCAAGTCGCGCCGACAAAGCGAATGGACTACGTCTGCCTGGCCACCTGTCGTGTCCTCCCACCATTCCCACTTCCGACTTTCAACCTGTGAATATTTTCAATCTACAATTGTATTTCACTCATTCGATGTTAACCTTCATTTTGTTTACAATCTTTAATTTTTATTTGAAAAAAAAATTTAGTTTTCGAACTCTCGTAAAAAGAATCTCTTAACATTTTCCATCTCTCAAGCCTAACTTTTCTCCCTTCCTTCATTTTCCTTCATGTTTTATGCACGCACCGTGACAATTTTATGAGCCCAAGGAGGCACTGAACAGATTGCAACTGCAGGCATTCAACGATATTTCGGCACGTGACGCCTAAAAGCGAATTTTACCGTCGACGCGCTCACAGGCAATTTAAATTTTAAAACACAAATAGAGGGAATCCTCGCTTTTTCGATTTTTTTGCCGGTAACAAAAAAGAGAAAAAAAAAGTCCACACAGACGCGCAAGTTTCCGGCACATTCAGAACATATTCTCTGAATGGAATGGTTCCAAGCTGTTGAAAGTTTAATTCGACTGAACACATATGTACATATATATTTGATTTTTTTCATCGCTTTGATTAATTTCATCTTGAAAACTGAATTTTTTTTCACCCAGCATTATCTGATATAACACAATGACAAAATGTCAATGTACGCTGAATGACAATCATAAGGTAGATTTGTTGATTTTGGAATACGCATATATAATGGCCATGCTTATTATTTAATACAATTTATTCAAAGCTCTTAACGTTAACATAAAATAGCTTTATTAACCGACAGCTATGTTAGCCAACGACGTCATGACTTCGCCAGCTAACCTAATACCTTCAGCAAAAACTCTAGAGCCAATAATGATTAGCGGACAATTGGCAGCAACCGTACCGTATACTCTGGCGATGGTGTCAAGAATGACTCTAATACCAGCGACAGGGTTATCACCATTCAAAGCTACCTGTATAACATCTCGAAATCCAGTGCTGAAATCGTTAGTGATGTTGAGAGCAGCTTGAAGATGCCGTCGAGCTTCAGTTAAAGCTTCGGACACTCCCGGAATATAAGGGCCATTGCTTCTTGGTATGTTGATCGTAGGTACGGTGATATTTTTAGTACCAATGCCAGGAATCTTCGAGATGACACTCTCAATACTGGGAAATCTAGGAAGATTGGTTTGTCCATTTTTTGGAACGAGTTGATTGAAGCCTGGAATCAGGTTAAGGAAGGGAGTGAACGGTCCGAAGGGCGATCCGGTGTAGTTGGACGAGCTGGTACTGTTGTCAGGCTCGGAATTGGTGTGGGATGTGTTGAATAAACTTCCAAAGTTAAAAATCGGTGCATTGATCCCGGGAATTCGCGGAAATGTTATTTCGCCTCCAGCGTACATCTGCAAAAAATAGGCAACAGGAAGTAGCACGATTATTAAAAACCACATGCAAAAAAGTAGAAAATGGAATGTTCTTTTGATCGAATGAAATAGTGCTTGCCTTGGTTGGATCGATGCCGGCATACACGGAAGATGCCGATGCGGAAGCAACGAAAGTTAAGACAGCGTACAACAATTTTCCTTTCATGACTGTGCGTAGTTTGCGAATGTTGTCGCGTGCGAACTTGATTCTGGTTAGATCGACCTTCGGTAGTGCATTTTATACTTGGGTCTAATACCGTGGCGACAATGCAGCAGCTGTAATGACACATCTGTGTCAGCGCATCGACGACAGTCGATAATTCACCTGGTTGTCATGCGTACGTGCGTTTTGCGCATATTCCGCATTGCAATTGCCGCGCAAGAGTTCATCAGTCAATGGGCCATATGCACTGGCGCTTCGCGCGTCACCTGCGCGGCGAGTCGAATTCGAATGCTAATGCTTGGCGATTATGTCAAAAGTGTCGCGCTCTTGTCGACTAGCGAGTGAATCAGTCGACACAATCGCCATGTTACATGACAATGGCTAATGAACGACTCGAGTCTTTCTCGTTTAGCTATGAAATTCGAAACTGGTTTTCGTTATCCGAAGTATGTATATGTGTACGATGCAACAATGCGCGGAAAGATAAAAGAAGGGGCCAAAGTTTGAGGTATGCAAAAGCGAATTTGCGACGCACTTTGCGTGAAAAATGCCGGGGATACGCAACGACGATCGTGGTAAAGCGAATTCCAGAAATTTCTTCTCATCGCTCTTCCAAAGGTGAGAGAGACGGAATTTCTTCCTCTTGACAAAGCAGAGTTACGGCATAATAGCTCGTGTATAATATTCAAATTTCCACGATGAAACTCTCCAGCAGTCAAACCTTATATTGGACTTGAAATTTTGCAAATTTGCCGTAAGCTCTAGCCATTCTTTTAGAGTAACGTGACTTTTCGAGTTGTTTGGTCTGAGCGGGCATTTATATTTTCTTGGATATTCTATGCAAACGACTGCGGATACATTGGTAACGCATAAATCAATCGGATAGCAGATGAATTGTTGCAATAGAATATGAAATTTTGAAAGAAAAAGGACATTGAATTACAAACGGATGGCGCTTTTGTTCAGATCTGCCATCAAAATCACTTTTTCCGCTCGGCTGGCCTCCAAGTTTCGCTCCCTTAACCGTCGAGAAGCGCGCAGACAGGCCGAGAGAGAGAGAGAGAGAGAGAGAGAGAGAGAGAGAGAGAGAGAGAGGGAGAGAGAGAGAGAGAGGGAGAGAGAGAGCAAGCGAGAAGCGACTGCACAGATTTTGCGTTTGCCTCCCTTCCCTACTTGCCTTGAGATATCGCTCGCTAACTTTCAACTATTCCTCAGATCTTCATCCCGAGCAGAGAACACAGACGGCAGCCGCGTGCTCGTATAAGGCTTTCCGCCAGTCGATTCGCGCATGACCGCCCACGCCCAGGACTTTACCGCGCCAGGGAGCTATTTACTCGCAGGAAAAATTTGGCTTCTCTCTCTCTCTCCCGCGAGTAATATATAGTATTATATCTATATGCATGAGAAATATGAATATTTGACAAATGTCGAAAACTTGCTTGTTTTCCCCATACAACTTTCGAAAATATTTGTTTTAGTGGAGCGTTTATTTGTATTTGTTTCTATTATTTCCTCTAATTGAGCAAGATTATTTATAAGGTTGTAAAATATGGTTGTATTTACAAATATGGATTTTTCTTTTACAGCATTAAATGATAAACATTAACCAAAAAACAAAGTTTTAATTAAAAATCAACTCCAAGCTAACAACTTGTATCGAGTTCTATCTAGTTTGGTTCAGGGGTGAGAGGGGAGAAAATAGAAAAAAAATTAGCAAAAAATCATCTGCCGAGTCTAGTAAAGTGAGCGCGCCTGTGTGTAATAGTGCGGCTGAAAATTTATTAAAATAGTCTCGCGCTTGGTGCGCTCAAATTAACCTAGCGGGAGGTAGACTAGCGCCATCGACTATCTGCTACTGCTGGCAAGCGACGATGAAAACGAGAGAAACAGAGTGAGAGTGGGGAAGACTAAGCCGAGGGGGGTAAGTTTTACAGCGCTCGAGGGATCCAGCCACGGCACGAGCAATCAATGCCCGTCTGTTATTTAATCCTGCATCGTCCGTCGCCAAACAAGACTTTTACACGTGCTCTCTTTTTTCTTCACTTATCCGTTACACATACGCTTTATCAAAAGAATCAACCGAATTTAATCGGAATTATTCATCTCGTTATCCACGTACGTATTCAAATGAGATCGGCGATGCAAAGCTGCAGAAATGAAAAAAAATAGAAGACTTTCAGTGGTGTGCGACCTTTGATTTATGTCGTCTCGTCCAGCAGATGATCCCCGAGCATCGATCATATGTACGCCGACAAAGAAAGAAAGAAAGATAGAAAAAAAATAAAAGAAGGGAAGACAACAGGAAGTACTAGGCCGTGCATCTTCAGGCGCGCACGCAAGCGCTCGAGAAAAAGTGCCGACTGGACTTTGCAGCGCAGGATTAATGGTTGCCTGCTATGCCACGGTCTATCTCCCTCTCTTTCTCTTCCTCACTCTCTCTCTCTCTCTCTCTCTCTCTCTCTCTCTCCATCCTCGTTGTGTATTCAATTTCGCAAATTTTTCGAGGTATCGAAACGAAATCACAGACAGACAGAGAACGAACGAGCGAGAGAGAGAGAGAAAAGAGAGAGAGAGAGAGAGAGAGAGAGAGAGAGAGAGAGGAAGAGAGTTGAGTGACAGTAGAAATTAATTTGTGCGCCCGGTGCACGCGGAAATTGCGCGGCCTTTGTTCGCGGCGCTTGTCATCATTGCGTGAACGCAGGCAAGCAAGCAAAGCAAAGGGACAGCGACAAATGTACACGCGTTTACTCTCTCTCCAGCTCTCAAGTATTGGGCACAGATGCGCCCGAGATCGAGATTGTCGACGGCTTCATAATAACCTACCAAGATACGCACGCCCAGTATATTGCGAGTTCGAGATGTTGCTGCTGCTGGCTTAGCCCTCGCAAGCACAATGGATGAAAGCGCCACTCTGTTTGGGTTGCAGGCGCGTCGAGGTGTCAAGGGCTCCCAGTGCGCACACGGCTGGTCGATGAACGGATACGCAAATCCACGCTGAGCCGAGCTGTTTTTCTTCAGCATTTTGCCAATGAACATAACGAGTGCCTCAAAAATTATAGGCTATTTTTTTCACTTTCATGTACTTTCAACATCTATTTCGAAACGAATTTATATTAAACGTATAAAACATTGATTATTCGTACATTAGCAGTATCGTAACCTATTTTTTGCTGCAATTTCACTGAAACACTTGTGAAAAAATACGTTGAATGCATTTTTTGCGTTATACATCCTCGTAATGTAATGAAATAAAAAACATATTCAAACGGCTGTTATTCCAGTGCATCTTTCATTCCCGCAATGAAACATTCGTTATTCGCTTTGCAATGCTTCCGTAGTATCGTAATAAATTTTTTAATGCAACTTATTGAAATGGAAAGATATGTCGAATTTATTTTTCGCGTTATATCCTCGTAAAGAACTAATGAAATAAAACTTCAAACGAGTGCTATCCAAGTAAAAGTTTCATACCTTCAAAAGAAAAAAAACTTGTTCAAATAAATCCCATTGAAAGGCAAGTAGACCGTGCACACACGATGCCACGATGCTTTTGACACCGATTCAGGCGAATATCAATTTAATGGCCGGATGCGGTCCCGACGACTTTATATCCACATCAGGGGTGGAGCCTCAGAGGTTACTACTTTACATCTCGTCCCTGGCAATTTGCGCACAGCGGTGGCAAGGGTGTATATAACGTCGTTGACTCCACGGGTGGTCGACAGAGGGTCAGCTTTAATTGCGTATGATTTTGACGGCAACTCACTTTTTACGATAATTTACTCGTCTGCAGCTCATTATATAGCATCATTAAGCCTCATGTCCCGGCTTCTTTTTACAGCTGGTATTACTTGCAAAGATTTTCTTGTTTTTTCGAAAATATAGCACGGCTGCGTACTACTCGCAGAGCATTCCACCCTCTCTCAATTTGGGCAAAGCAAATTTGCAAACGCAAGAATAATCATCGAACCCTCATCAACCGATGGCCGTGATCTTTTTTCCTTGGAGGCAATCCCGAAACGATTACGCAGCCGATTAACGCGGTCAAACAAGTCCTCTCCAAAATATTCATAGCCCTCGCTGTCTCACTGTAACGCGCTGTCTCTTTCGCACGCGCCTGCGGCGTTCGGCGAGATAGAGCTTTCGAGGTGAAAATGCAAACTAATCGGGTTCCGAAGCGAAGCTACCGACCGGAGCCCCAATCCCGCGGGGCAGTTTACCGATGCGCATACCTCTATGACGTGCTATCGTTCGCAATTAGCGGCCCGTCAGTGACTTGCGCGCGCGTTCGATCCTCGAGCAGAGATTTCACGACAATTGCTTTCTTCTTCTGTTTATCATTATCTTCTTACTATTATGGCTCATTTCTTTCACAATTGCATAATTCTTCGATAACGGCTACATGCGCTATTTTTGTCTGAGTTTATATCTCTTATAAAAAAGACAAAAAGATAATGTTAGAAAATTTTCATTCGTCATGTTCCTCATCATTTTTCCTCATCTATTTTCTTACCCGAAATGTAAACTTTTGTAAATTAATAATTGAAGAAAATTTTACTAGCTTGTTTAAATAAACAAATTTCTCAACAGATTTATAACGAATTTGCCTTATCAAATATAATATTTATTATACCTATAACTCAATATTACATATGTCACTTGAACTTTCTATTTTATACAGCTACAAACAACTATTAATTCACAAAGTAATGAAATTAGGACCTCGCAACAATGTATATGTATTACATAAAATACGGATGTAAATTTTCGATTGATATTATTAAAAAAAATCTGTTTTACTTTATTTGTGATTAGAAACTGAAGGACTTTACTAAATTCCTAGTCGCGGTTTATACTTGTGATCTAAAGTTTATATTCATTATGAAATCTTTCTTTAGCATAAATATCATTTACTGCAGATTTTTTATTATTATAAGTCTCCAAATTTAATTTATTACGCAGAGTTCGAAAATTGCTAAACTGCATGTTTTCTGATGCATTTCGTGAAGCACCAAGAATAATGTAGAATATTGTCTAGATCATA